TATATATATATATATTTCACAAATCCTTGTGATATGCATGTAAAAAATTGTTTACTCACTTCTAATAGTTTCCGTAAGGGACTGACTCAAAATATATTATAATAGGAACTAAGAAGGAAAAAAAATATTTTAAGGACTAAAATCTATTTTTTTAAAATAATATTAAAAGAATTAAAATAAAAAGTAGACTATATTATAAGAAACAAAAACATACTTTATTGTTATTATTATTATTATTATTATTAATCGTAAAGATAAGAAATTCCAATGAATGGAAAATAAGTTTGATATTAGTTATATGCAGTTCTCATAAGCTTAAAAGGGGCATGCATGTGCTTTTAATGTCTATTAACTTCAACTGTTGTTGATTTGAGTGATATCTATAGACTTGATTTTTAAATAAAATCTTGAATTTGAATTTCAAAAAATTTGATTAAGAGAAAAGATTTTATTATAACTATTGGGTTTGCTATTGTGGTGGATGTTACGTACGGTTAGCAATATGTACAACAGTATGCCATTCTTGGCTTTCAGATTTTATCCATGCTTCAAAGCAAGCATGAACGTGTTAAGGGGATAAACCCAAAGTCAATGGTAGATTGAGAATATGGATATAGTAGATCATAGATTGATTATTACTACTAATTAATCAACTATTTGGTATTCGTATCTTAAAACTAAAGAAAGAAGTTTTAAATTGTGATGGGTCACCTGAGCATCAGATTGATGATGGCGGATCATCCATTAATTAATTGGTTTTTAATTTCCGCAACAGTAGGAATGTGAAAAATATCTAACCTAATATAATTCATATTAAAAAAATGTGATCTATTTAGAAAAAAAGTCAATCCATTTTTAAAATATCATTTTTTGTCAGATCCATTTTTATAAAATAAAATAATTTTATTTGATTCAATTTAAAAAAAACGATATATATATATATATATATATATATATATATCCCTACTAAAAAAAATGTTATTTTCTTGCAAATTTTCCTATAAAAAAAAATATTTTCAGATTTTTTTTGCAAATTTTCTTGCAATAATAATTTCACAAAATTTTTTACAAATTTATTTAGGAAAAATAATTTACAAATATTTCTTATAAATTTTATTTATAAAAAGTAATCTACAAGAAATTTTTTGCAAATTTTGCTTCAATTTTAATGATCATAGAAATTTTTTTCCATGATAAAAATTTACAGAAAATATTGTAAGAATTTTATTTTGTTTCTCGCAGATTTTCTTGCAAAAATAAATTCGCAAGTAATGTTTACTAAATGATAGAATATTTTTGCAAGTAACTTTTCTTGCGGATTTTCTTGCCAATTTTAATCCGCAAAAAAAATAAAAAATATATTTAAATTTATAACTTTAATATTTTAAAAAAATATCAAGTCCCACATTGAATGAAAATAAAACAATTAAAGAGTATATAAGTTGAGGCAATACTTACCTTACAAGTTGATTTGTATGGTTAAATATTAAACTTATAATCTAATTTTAGAGTTCAAAAGATTATGTATCACATGTTGGATTAATATTTGTAGTAATTTCTTTAATTTTTTTTCATAAAAAATATTCCTGCAGAATTTCTTGCGAAAAAAAATAAAAAATATTCCTGCAGAATTTCTTGCGAAAAAAATTTACAGGAAACTTTCCGACGAAACTTTTTTTGCAGGAAACTTTCATGCGAATTTTTTTTTGCAAGAAATTTCACAGAAAAATTGCTTGCGAATTTTAAAATTCGCAAAATCATATTATCTACGAAGGTATTAGCTGTAGATAAAATTTCATAGAAAAATTCGTAAGAATAATGTTTGCTGCGAATTTTAATACAAAATTCACAGAAGAAGTCGCATGTAATAAGATAATATATATATATATATATAAAATGGACAATAACACTATATTAAACTGGTTAATTTTAGAAAAATTAATCCATGTTTTTAAAAAGTCAATTCGATCTATTTTATAAAAAATGGTTTAATTAATCAATTTATTTTTATAAAATGAATTAATTTGGTTAAATTTTAATTTTTAAAAAAGTATTCATAAACACCCCTACACACGATATTAAAGAAAATTTGCATGAGGGGGAAAGAAAATGATACTTACCTTCGTGGGTGCAGGTGCTAGAGGTATTCTTGCTCTTGTTATCACTCCAAATTGACCTAATCCTCCAAGAACAGCATAAAATACTTCTGAATTTTTCTCGGGAGAGCAAGTCACAAATTCTCCTTTCCCTATAAAAGTCTCAAAGTTTTATATGGAAAACAACCATGCACAGAGTGAACCACAATTTAATTTAGAGAAATAATAATAATAATAATAATAAATAAATAAATAAATAACTTATTTAAATGTAACATACAACAGTAACAGAAACTATTTTAGAAAAAAATCAAATTAATTCTTACAATAACCCAATTAATTCATATATATATATATATATATATATATATATATATATATACCTGTAACAACGTCCAATTCAAGAACATTAGATATCTGAGGTCCGAATCGAAAGGTTCGACCATTGATGCCAGCATTAGAGAGCGTGCCTCCAACCGACAAATACAAGTAGTTAGTGAAAGACAGAGGAGTGAGTTCATGTTTAAGGGTTGCATTCAACACATTAATCCACATTTGTTCACCACCTACATCAGCATAACAATAACCCAATGGAAAACAAGACACTAAAATCCCTGACCCATGTTTGAAATTGCTGAGGTGTGTCATATTCAGCACCACCCCATCTCGCGTCATGGCTTGTCCAAGAACCGAGTGGCCTTGGCCTCTAGTGGCTATGGTGAAAGGAGTGGGAAGAGAGTTTGAGAAATTTATCAAGCTCGAGATATCACCAACGGAACATGGCTCAAAAACTGCCCATGGGGTCTTGTGAACTACGTGTCCATAATCGGTTGAAGCTAGTAAAAGGGCTTGAGGGTTACGAGTAAACTTTGGAGCAAGGTCTTTGGGTGGGTGGAATGCTGACAACCATCGTTGATGTGATTGTGCTGGTGTGAGCAATATGCTCGATAGCCATAGTACCATAGTAACCTTTGAAAACACTATACTCAACATTTTTCTTAGGAGGGACAAAAGAAGAGTTAATTTTGGTAGTGTGAGATGCTTCCAATTGGTTCGTGCATATTTATAGACTAATGAAAAGAACATGAAGAAGAAATTTTAGTAGTTAAGAAATGTAAGGATAAATCAACACTCTTCCTTTTTTAAATATCTCATTTTTTTAAAATACTTCATTAATAATTATATTCTTTTTCTCTTCTTAATTATCATGCCACACGATTATTTTAATGAAACAATTTGTAGTTTTGTACTGTCTATATTTTATTATTTTGAGATGTATCATGTTTTGTTTAAAATTTTTCTTGCATTAACCTTTCGATTTTTTTTTTTAATCAGCAAACACAAAATATATTAAATAGAAGTATAAAATGTACCTAAATCGAAATCCATATAATACGCATTCATATATAACTTTTAAGTGGTACATTGGATTTGTTAACCGTTCATAAAATGAAAATGAAAATCCTTTCAACACCTTAAGATCTGAATTTTATTAAGTGTAGCACATTCACAATACCCACAAACTCGTTTTTGAAGATATATATATATACGTCGGTTAAAAAATATATTCCCAACAAGAGTCATGTTTTAGTTAAAAAAATTCCCCACATTTTATTATGCTAGTATGGTTAATTGGTAAATTTTATTATAATTTAAAATTGAATTATATATCTTATACAATTAATTCTTTTGTTATAATAATGTTTTATTAATTATTTATTTCACATTTTAAAATTAGTTAAAATTTTGATATATTTTGATCAAGTCTTATTATTTTGTTAAATTGATGCAGGTTAGAAAAATTTGTTGTTACACATTGTGTGTGTTGTGTTCGTAGGTGTGTGTTCATGTGTGGGTGCGTTACGTGCGTATGTGTGTGTGCATGCTTAGAGAATAAAAAGTAACACATAACATATAGACAAATACAATAAGTTATCTCTCTATTTTTACTAAACATTTTTTGATATTATTATTAAAATGTTTTTATTTTTTGGTTTGGAGATCTTCCGTCGCATAAAATTGATCCAACATGTTATAATATTTTAAGAGAGAATTTCATTTAAAATTAATCTACCCGTACATTAAGGCATTTTTTTCTTCTAAAGATAGCGCTTAAGATACTTCAACCAAAGCTTATTTAAACTGTTATTCTTATTTATTTTAGTTTTTATTAATTTAATTAATTTATCATTTGTTGATATTCATTTTTATATAATTCAATGATAAATAATATATTATAATTTCATATTTCCATGTTCTAACAATCTTATAAAGAACAATTTGAATCTAAATCAAAATTTAGTTTTTATAAAATTATTTATTTTGGAAATAGAAAATTATTTTAGACATTGTTGTTATAAGGTTGAGCTATCATTTGATGAACTTTACGTTGATGTGATAGAGAACGAAAGTCAAATGATGGTGGTATCAAGGGAATAAATTTTCTTCGAGAACCTAAGAAATTGTGCAACTGTGTGAAAATATAAAAATGAGGGTAGAGAATGGCAACCTAATAGATGATTAAATAGTGATAAGAAGTCTTGAGATTTAAATTAAATATTTTGTTATTTATATTTTCCTTAATCTTTTAATTTAGAAATTGATTGCAAGTTTTAGAGTTCTTTGATCATGTTGATTTTTTCTTCTTCTTTTACATAGTTGGTTGTAGCTGGCAAAATATTTTTGAACTATGATAGTTGAAATCAAGTTGGATAGTGGATAATGTGTTTGCAATGCAACTATGGAATGACCTTGAGATAGGATCTAGTGCTCCTATGATCTTTAGTTGTGTAAACCTATCTTGTATAAAAAAAACAAAGTAATTTTAAATTAAGAATTTTTTATCAAGTTATTTATCACGGTAACCAAAAATATTTATTTTGATATAATCATATACTTTCTAATTCTAAAACTTGGAAGAACTTTCTTAAAGATGTGGTGTTTATACTTATAAACATTATGTTTGCATATATTTTTTAAGTATGAAAGTTTATATTTTACTTTTTGTTGATTATGTAGTGTTGAAATTTCTATGCCCAATTTTGGATTAGTATTTGCTGAATCGCGGAACACCTGGAGTAACATATGCATATGATGCATGTCACACATTCATTATTTCATTAACTCAATATTTAACTTATTACAGAATTTCATTAAGTATATCATGTCATCATTTTTCATGTTCTCATAATCATAACTTGTCTCAATAGTCCATTCTTAGGTCTCATGTCATTTGTCCATATTTCACATGGTCATGTCATAAATACTCCTCATAAGGTCTGCACAGGAATTCACAGAGAGCATATTTATTCATATTAAACCTTATTTATTTTTAATATTAATTCCATATTCATTTAATACTTTCAATAATGAACAAAGTAGAGCAAACAACGGCAAGGGATTGGGGGCCAATCCGACAATCAAACTATCCAACAATTATCCCCATACCCCCGAGCGATGTTTTTCACTCCCCCCTTACCTAGATAAGCGGAGTTGAAACTTGGGCAGGATCTCCTCCTCTGGATTCCCTCTTTCCTTCCCTCTCTTTCTTTCTTTCTCTCTTTCTCTCTCCCTCTCTCTCTCTCTCTCTCTTTCTTTCTCTCTCTAAGATTTCACTTTCTTATTCAGTATAAAATTTTCACCCCCTTGTGTAACGACCCGACAGGTCACCACACTCATAACCGTAGCACACCGGAAACACTAGACAGAATAGAACAAGTATATAAATATAGGATCTAGAATATAAATATATACAAATGTTCCAATCCGACTAGAATTAGGGCGTACAATATAAAATACAATCCGAAATAGCCAGATAGTGGCTTAACATCCAAAACAGCAGCCAGTTAAGACTCCCCGTCCTCTGCCAGCTATAAGCTTGCTCCTATCACAATCTAGCCCTGCTCTGCTCCCATACCAGTATGATCATCGCAGTCCAAACACATGGAAACAACAAGGGTAAGCTAGTATAAAAAGAACAAGATATAGGGAAATTTTTTTAGTAATAGAAGCAATTACAACTATCAACAATTCATCCATAAACATCCTGTCAGCTATTACCACACAGTTTATCAATACACACAAAATGCGTCGTCACGCATATCACCTCGGAGATCTCCTACAACACCTCAGCCTTTCGGCCTACAACAGCTCAGCCTTTCGGCCTACAACACCTCAGCCTTTCGGCCTACAACATCCAATATCAACACACAGTACAACACAACTATACAGCTCAACATATCATCTTACAACAATGCACAAGTGATACAACTCAACATAATAACTTACAACAATATACAACTGATACAACTCACATCAGCAACAGTATTATCAACTAATCATCACATCATATTCGCCTATTTTAATTCAACTCTCGCATTATTAATAGCATGATCAATAACTTTATAACATACAACATATAATACGGCTCACCCGTCTTGTTTACAACTCATCAATCATGCAAAATTACCCACCCAAACAACACCAATCAACCTAAGCACCTAAAACAACTTAACCAATGCTGACAGCTTGACCCCTCTTCACTAAAACAGCTATATTTGGAGTTCTAGAACTCCTTTTTGGGTGATTCCAGCGCCATTGGAAAGCTAAGATCTAAGGCTACAACTTTCATGAAGACTACAAAGTCCAATTCTGAAAGCACAAAGGCGCTCAGCGCCTTCAAAGCGCTCTGCGCCTTCAAAGCGCTTTTCAAATATCATAAGGTAGAAGATTCACATTCGTAACTCATCAATTATAAAAAAAAATCAACATATAAGTATTAAAACTCAAGAAATTATATAAAGGAAAATATATATTAATTCCAGTAAAGGTGGCAGTGCCTCCTAGTTAAGAATTAATTTATAACTTTCAAATCATGTAATAAAATAGTATGACAAAGATGTACGTTTTGGTCTTTTCTCAAGAACGTTCAAAATTACAAAAGAAGAGAAAATTAAAGCTTTTAAAACAATAACATCCCAAAAACAAGCCTAGCTATGCCCGATGTCACATCCTATCAGAGCATGCCCAACTGAAGCCTTAAGTCTCATCACCAACATCCTCACGATGCTGATCTCCTGCAACATAATTTAAACATATACAAGAACAACAAGGGAGTGAGAAATATCTCACTCAGTTTCAGGTGAAGAAATAAATGTTAGATAGCACACACACGCACAACATATATAAGTTACATGTACACAATACACATAAATAATCAATATCACATATATACTCATTTATCATGCTATGCTGTCATGAACTCAACTCATAAATGCATGCATGTGGCGCCATAAGGAAGTTTCACAATTCATTACTGGTGACCCTAAGGCACACCTGTACAACTGTCGGTGACCCTAAGGTATACCTTGTTAGCATGTTACAATTGTCGGTGACCCTAAGGTATACCTTGTTAGCATATCACAACTGTCGGTGACCCTAAGGTACACTTGGTTAGCATATCACAACTGTCGGTGACCCTAAGGTACACCTTGTTAGCATATCACAACTATCAGTGACCCTAAGGTACACCTTGTTAGCATCACTGGTATGCGGCCTCAGCGGAACACCTGGAGTAACATATGCATATGATGCATGTCACACATTCATTATTTCATTAACTCAATATTTAACTTATTACAGAATTTCATTAAGTATATCATGTCATCATTTTTCATGTTCTCATAATCATAACTTGTCTCAATAGTCCATTCTTAGGTCTCATGTCATTTGTCCATATTTCACATGGTCATGTCATAAATACTCCTCATAAGGTCTGCACAGGAATTCACAGAGAGCATATTTATTCATATTAAACCTTATTTATTTTTAATATTAATTCCATATTCATTTAATACTTTCAATAATGAACAAAGTAGAGCAAACAACGGCAAGGGATTGGGGGCCAATCCGACAATCAAACTATCCAACAATTATCCCCATACCCCCGAGCGATGTTTTTCACTCCCCCCTTACCTAGATAAGCGGAGTTGAAACTTGGGCAGGATCTCCTCCTCCCATTTTGCGACCAAAATTTTCGGTC